CTATTTTGAAAAGGAAACATTGGAGTAAGGGACTCAAGTAATGCCCCTTACAACTGGCAAAAGAAATAGCCCCAGGAACATTAGACCCTTAACCGAGATTTGCCCAGAGCAGCCCGAGAGAGGCTCACTGATCTTAGGAGGATTTGCTTCCTTGGAACTCAGAGAAGGTAAATGACTGGCTGCAGTAGTCTACCATGCTGAGTGGAGGAAAGAAGAATGCATATAGCATTTCAACCCAGGCTGCAGCAGGCTTTTTAAATGCTTTTCTGGAGCCTACTTGTTACAGCTGCCTGAGGGTTTCTTTAAAAATGCTCAGTTGTAAGGCTGGTGGAGCTGCCAGTGGTATAGGTGCAAGATTAGTCTCCCAAGAAAAGACTAGTGCTTTCACGCTTTTCCCAGCCTTCTCTCATTATCTAGTACTGTAACTTCCCTTTGTCAAACTGAGCATGGGGGGGGGGGGGGGGAGTGTGGAGCACTGTGGCCATTTGTTAATCCAAGGGAGGTGTTTAGATCTAAGCTTAAAGAAGATCAGCAGTTAAAGTCTTAACCATTTTTAGTGGTTTAAATACTCCATGACCATACTAAGCACCTGAAGTATTGGTAAAATAAAGCAACCTTTGAAGATTTTATCCACTTCTTTGATCCGTAGCCACTATTGAGAGGTTAGACAGCTTAGTGGTCTTAGTGCAAGGGTGGGTTCAAGAGCCATCCTGACCCAATTAAGGAAAGGAGCAGACAGCAACAGTGCAGGTTTTTGAAAAGCAATATTGAAATCCTTCAAGAAGCTAGATAACTGCTATGCTGCTTTAAAAGGGCTTCCACCTGGCAAAGTAGGGAAACCAGTGAACAATGGCTTTAGGAGAAGCTAATGATTAGTTACCACAGCCCATCACTGTTTCTAGGAATTGGTATATTTTGGTAATGCATCTTGAGAAAGGACCTTCATGGAGAGAAAAGAACTAGCCTCAATTATGTACCTAAGGAACCAGCCTTAACATTCAGTACTTCTGATCATAGTACAAGGGCCATCTGTTAAATGCTTTTGCTACCTTAAAGATTCTCTGATCAGATCCTATTGTACAGCCCAGCTATTTTATTTTAAAGCATTTACACTCATTCTGACTGGAGGAATTCCAATGACATTTAATAAAAATATGACTGAATATATATCACCGGTTACATGAATCTTTATACACAATGACATTGTCTGCATAGTAAACACTGATGTGTACTTGAATTTAAAATGGATTATCTATAATCCTTTAAAGTGCAATTTGTTTAAGGTTTTAAGCATTAAAAGGATTTCAATCAGCATTTTAAGAACAAATGTGTTCTGTAACTTCCACGAACAAGATTAATTTCATGTGGATACAGAATGCACCTGTGTTGAAACTCCCCAATCCAGAAATTGTGTCAAATAATCAGTGTCAAATTAACTCCCACTCAAACAGGTTGTTTGTTTCCCCTACACATGTGGTAAGTGGAAACAGCTACATAGGTGGTCATTCCAACTGGACATGACAAAAGCATGAGCCAGAAGTCATGCTACATTGTTGAATTCTGAAGTACACTCCAGTGGCATATATAACTTTTCTCTATGGTATGTCTGTAGTTCCTTCACCAGTGTACTACAGTTGGGGTTAAGTGCTTTTTTTAAAAGATTATCTAAAGCAACTGGCTGTTTTGATGCAGCAAAATGTAATGTGCCAACTAGGTGGAATTATGGGAAAATAGGGCAGACTAAAGATTTTCAAGTTTGTTTGAAACCAGGGGTGAACAGGATGGAATCGGATGTACTGAATCAGTGTCTTCATACTTGTTCCTATTTTCAGATGACAAATATCGCTCCCTGTCCCCCAAAAATCACTTAACTAAAGGCCAGAGTTCATTTAAACTGGAACAACCAAAGTCAATAGTTATCACCACAGTGTGGCGCTGTAGTTCAAGTGATGTAGTGCTGCTACTCAACAAGGAGAATTAATTTCTCTAGAAAAAGCGGCAATGGCTCTGAACAGGCAGCTGCAAAACAGACCATCATGAAGCAGATGCTCACACCTCAACTGAGGACCCTTGTTCATGAGGATATCCAATGCTGGTGTGAAATGTTAACTTCAGCTGATCCTAGGAGCACTGTAGTCACACACGTCTGCTTTCTTCAGAGCTCCTTTCTGAAAGTTTTGAATGGAGCTAAGTAAGGCTTCTCGGTTGGCACTGTCAGCAGGTGAAGGGTGAGGATGCACTGCGCCATCCAGAGGAGGTGGTGGAGGAGGAGCTGCTGGTGGTGGAGGCGGTGGGGGTATGGTTGATGCTCCTGTTCAGATGAGAAAATAATTACACAAGATGCCACTACCACAAAAACAAGATCAAGCTAATCAAATAATTGCAGCTGTTTTGCTAGAACTAGGGCTCTTAAAATGCAGGTACTTGTGTAAGCATGTAACCACAGAAAAGCTCAGTGGTTATACACATGCAGTCAACTCCCCAGGAGGCAGTGCACGCGTACTGGCTCCCGCCTGCCACAGGATGGCAGCCAGCTCACCAGGAGTAGTGCAGCAGCCTGCATGTAACCGTGAACATTAACTACTAAGCCCAGGCTTATTGGGTAACTGTTTACACAGTTATACATTCACAGCCCTAGCTAGAACAGTACTAAAATCAACTAGAGAGACATCATTTACCCAAGTCAATACGAAACTTCTTGAATGCAAGCTGGGCCTCTAGTCTGGCATGCTGAGGACCTACCTGACTGGTGCCAAACCAGAGAATTTGCTGTACCACAGGAGGTCAATACTGTCTAGCAGCATGACCAACCCTCCCACTGCTCAGTGGGCTCTTAGACACCTAGGGGTAACTTATAGAGCTAAACAGCAGCAAAGAACACTGGGAGCCAGGGCCGGCGGCTGTAAACAAACTTCATGGAACTGTGGGAAAGTTGGCCACCCCACACACACTACACATTTCTGCCAGATTGTGGAAGACAGAAATTAGATGTGAAAAAGACCTAAGATCACAGCCATCTATTTGTAAGTGCAAGCTATCCAGTCCCCTAATAAGGCAGCTAAGTCACCTTTGAAGGGAAGCCCTGGATGCCCCATTACTGGTGGGGGGGAGGGGGGCGTACAACTACAAAATGCAAAAATCTTGCACTGGCTGAGGGGCAATGTTCCCTCTTATTTCCATCCATGTGCAGAATCCATTGTGGCATGTGCACCACTGGTAGAAATGAGGGATGTAAAAATGCAACCGTGTAACGCTAATCATAGCGGTTACACAACTTCAGGCTCCGCAGTATAAAGCGGCCTGCAGCCAAGCCGCCTCCCCGGGCGCGGGGCTGGCAAGGGCTGCTGCCAGCCCAGCTCTTGGGGACCCAGCATGTAACCTTTGGAGGGTGTGGCAGGGAGCTGAGCCTGCCACTGATGGGCTGCTCCAGCAGGCCCATGGGGCTGAAGCAGCCGCCTGCCTGGGCAAGTGGGGAGCTGTCCCAGCCCCTACTAGTTAACTTTTTACATCTCTAGTAGAACACACACTGCCAGCTGTGGGCACTCTGCTAACCAGCCAAGCAACTGGCATCTCTCCTGCGTGTCTGTCCCAGCGCACAGCTGATAAGGAACATTGCTGAGAGGGATTCACTCAATTATTTCCATGACTATGATTCCTGTGGTTTGTTTCTTAGTACTAACACCAAGCGAAGCTGTCCGCCCTCCATCTCACAAAGCCAGACCTGATAAAGAAGATAGTTGGACACACTAAGTCTTACAGTTACCCAAGTATAGCTACAATGTGAAGTCTTTTTCTCCCCTCTAGCCCATGAGTTGTTTTTAGATTAGCTACAGATAGAAGAATGGGTCATCTTATAACACTTAGCATTTTTAAGACAAGTACAAAAAGGCACATTCCTATAAAAACTATTGTAAAGCAAAATCCTTATCAGTTACACTGCATCACAAGTCCTTCTGAGGGCCTTGACCACAAATCACAGGCCAGTGGCATCTTTAGCACTGAGAAATCTTACTTGTTTTGCTACATTCTGTGTTCTAGGTCACACAGACCCATTAGGGTCTGTAACTCAGGGTGTAAACTTTACGCCACAACGTAAGAGCCAGGGAGTTTCAAATCTGCCCCCTTCCAACTCCGCATTGCATGACCATGTAAAGTCAGAACTATGGAATTTAGTTAAGCTTGGAATGATTCTACTTTTAAATCGGCAAATCTCGGTAAAGGTCAGTTTGACTGTACATGGACAATCAAAATTTGCAGATAGGCAAAGAAAAACTGCCTGAGAACTGACTGGTTTAAGATGTTTATATTTTGACACGTGATATTGACAAGTTATGTTTCAGCAGTTTAACTTTTGAACGTTAATATCTACTTAATTATCTGACCTCCCCTATTGGCTGACACCCCATATATGCCTGCCACCAAAAAATAAATTTTTAAAAAGTGCTTAAAACCTATATTTGCACAACTAAAAATTTAACTCCAAGAATTTAAAAAATGCTTACAATAAACATCAGTTGACCTTTTACAAGCACACAGATCAAATTCTGCCAAGCCTATTTATATAGTGTGCCCCTGCTGTCCGGTAAGAGGAGGACTATTCCCAGTACACAGATGGAGGAGGTTTGGCTACACCTTCCGCCCAGCTACGATTTGGCAATGTGAGCTACTCAACTGCCACACTGGAAAGGGGATTTTGAAATACAGAGCATTGCACCTCATTAGGCCAGGCTTAGCGTACGTGGGGAACGCCGAGGTAACACGGCTGCTGTTTGACAATGACAGGAAGGGACAGGAGATGAAGGGAAGCAAGAGTTATCAATGCAGAACTACTTGCTGCCGTATGGCCATTATCTCAACACTTTCAATGAACACAAGAAATTAAATGAGACAGAACGACATTCAAAAGTTACTCAGTGCTCAGCCACTGCCCATAGAAAGCCGGTGAAGCAGCCAATCTCTTCTCTATTTGTCCCAGTCTTCCTTGCCCCTGCTTTGTCTCAGACTAATGAAAATCAACAGTTGGCCAGGGACTAACTGCATTCCATGGTTCCTCTGCTTCACATGGTCAGGCGTTTACCTCCCTCACAAGCCAGCACCTCCTGCAATGGACGGAGAGGGAGACAGTCCTCTGATGGGCCAACAGCTGCCTGTTGCCATGGACATACGTGGCTGTTTCAAGTCCGTTTTACTCTCCCCCTCTCCAGCAGAAATGGCTGGGCTGAAAAGACTCCCCCCATAGGGACAACGCAGGACCCTCTCTCTGTTGCAGAGGGTTTGTTTTCATCCGTGCTGTTCACTGACCTACCTGATTTGCCCTTACACCAGCAGACAACTTGATCTGAAAATCAGTTTATTAATACAATTTACTGGGAAGTTATCCCAGCATTAGAGCCCCTGACTAACGAGCTCGCTTATGATCAGCCCAGTGTGGGAAAATACTAGATAGTGATGTGATACTTGACATTCACGGCAGAAGGAAGAACAAATGGTGATCTACGCTACAGGCTCAGGCAGGATGGTCAGAGTAGAACAGAGGAAATGAAATGGTCCCTTGTTTTACTGTTTAGCTTACGATCACGTGAATTAGCCATTACTAGGATGTGTCACACAAGAGTCAAGGGCATCTGGGTAAGGCATGAGATTGCATGAGCCACACAAAGCAGACAGGCAGAATGAGATGGAAAAATGAATCCAAACAACAAAAAGAACAGAGAAGGCAACAGGTTAAAGAGGCTAAAACGAGGAGTTGTCCAATGCCGACAGTGAATGATTACGAACACTGGCTGGACTTCTGTAAAGAACAATTATAATAGTAACAGAAGAATAAAAGGTTGTCATGCACCTAACGATGGATCGCTATCAGTCTAGGGCTCTAATGCGGTCTAGTTTTTAGGTTGGCTACTTCTGTGGAGAAGGGGAGGGCAGTTTACTTCTGGTAATCTTTTAAAAAGCCTTGAGAGCGGCATGCTATGTAACCACTGAACTGGAAAGAGAACTGCCAGCACCAGTGAGCAGTAAGGAGAAGCCATTTCCATTCATCTGACAGTTTAAATCTGAATTTAGCCTCAGCACAGATGCAGCTATTGAAACCGTGTTTAAGGCAGGCAGGAGAGCTCCCTACAAATATGATATTTGTAGGTTATTGGGGGCCCATTCTGTCATACCCTTGCAGAAGGGCCTTTCCTGACAGCTGTCAGGAAGAATGGCTCTTGCGCAAGAGGAGATTTTTTGTGCAAAAGCAGCTGCTAATTATGCAAATGAAGCACGGCAATATTCCACGCTGTGCTTCATTTGCATAAGCTTTTCCAGAAGAAGGCTACAGTGTAGCTGTAACCTAAGGGTTCTAGGAGAATGGCTAACTAGTTACCGTTAACTGGTGCCCCACCCCCAGCCAGGTCCCCCATTCTCCCGCATTTGAGCAGTTAACCAGTTAAACATAACGTATAACCAGTTAGCTGATTAAAGGGGAGTTTAATCTCTAAAGGGTTCGTAGGACCTGGCCTCTGATTTATAACATTTACCAGTTCTTTGATTTCAATCAGCACGTCTGTTCGCCCTCCCAGGCCCCGGGGAATTCCGAGAAGGGAGCCCTTGTGGCTATGGCAGCGTAAGCCCAGGGCTCACAACCAATCCCCTTCCATCTCTCTACAAACTGGGCTGAACTTGGGTCCCTCTACCCCCAGGGGTGGCAGGTCCATGCCCTCTTGCTGGGCAGTGTAGCCCCACTTCCCTCATGCTCTGGGAGCCCTCCATCCCACGGGCCAACTTCCTTCGTCCCCTTCCCTGTCGTGTTTGATTGTCAGCTCCCCCTGGCTGCACCGCATGTAAGGGCAGGGGTGGCCACTTCTGGGGAGGGTGCGGAGAATTCTGGGCGAAGCGTGGTTGGGTTTTGGCCCCCATCGTACCGCGTAGATGCCAGCGCTGCAGGTTGCGATCCAGGGTTCAATGATTTCTAACCCACAAATGAGGGCGGAGCTCAAAGCCTAGGTTTAACAAACCAGGGTCTGCTAACTCGAGTTCTACGGTCGCTAGTGAACATTGCCGTGGAAACGCCCTTGGAGTAGGGTCAAACGCCCAGCGGAGGAGGATTCAGGCTGGCGGGGCTGTAAAATTGCTGTGCAGATGTTTGGGCTCAGGAGAGCGCCCAGGCTCTGGGACCTCTCCCCTCCCTCCCCCCATTGTGGGCTCCCAGAGCCCTGGCTCCAACCCAAGCCCAAAAAGCTCCATGACAGTTTTACAGCCCATGTGCGGGAGGCAGCTGCCAGGGGCCAGCCCTGGGCGTTACAGTGCTGTGCAGACGTACCCTCGCTC